TTGGGTCGGCATGCTTTTTTATGGTATAAGGGAAATAAAACACAGGGGTATTTCAGAAGACATTACTTAAGGAGGCATTGCTATTAAATTGGGAAAATTTCAAAAAGCAATATTATTTAAAAATTCCAGTCTGGCTATCAACTATCGAAGCCTTTTCATACAGAATAATATACAAAAAGAAAAAAACAGTTAGATATGGTGAAATATTGAATGCAGAGGGTGAACTTAAATCTAAGCAAGAGTTGCAACAAGAAGGAATAAGGATGAATTGGTTTTCATATGTGCAAATACAATCTAGATATGCCAAAGATCGTAAAGAGGAAGGTTTTTATGACAAAATGACTGAATTAGATAAAATTTTAACCGGTACTGATGAAAAAGTAATTAAAAAATTATATGGACATTTACTAGACATTAAGCTAGAAGAACAACAAGTTAAAGAATCTATGATAGCATGGGGGAAAAACTTTAGGCACAGGATTGAATTAGAAAAGTGGCAGAAAAACTCGTGCTCCCCAGCCTGCTCCTTACCCAGCAGTGGCTCTCCCTCTGCTTGAGGAGAGGATGAGGTGGGATGCACTGCAGTCTCTAGGGAGCCCCGAGTCTGTGGCTGAAGGGCCTTCCGCTGCTGGGCACAGAGCAGGCTGTGGAGCACAAGAATAGCAAGACAGCAGTGGGAGAATGAACTTCTTGTGTGCCTGCTGCCTCCTGCGTGCACACCATGATGGGGTGGGCCACACCTATGTACATGTGCGTCTGCTGCCTCCTGCGCTCATTCACACACACCGGGATACCATGGGCCAGGCTGAAGTGATGTGGGCTGGCCTCTTACAATTTCCAGGAGGGCCACATGGGCTGGATCCAACCATGTCATGGGCCGATTCGGCTCTCGGGCCTTGAGTTTGACACCTCTGACATAGAGAATCATAGTACCCACATCAGAATCTAATCACAAGCTCTTGGACCAGGAATACTATGATTAAAAGCAGAGTAGCCCCATCCAGGTACTTTTGAAGTGTGAGATTTTACTACTGAAGAAGCTTTGAAGGACTTTAGAAATATTTTTATACATCTTCTTGGAAAGAGTTTTTCAATTCTTTTGTTTTGAGCTTAATATTCTTGTACAAAGCACAGGCAAATGAGAGACAGAATGTGATAACTTTTGTTGCCACTACTGCAGCTGTTACTGCTACTATTCCCCCCCTTCTCCTCCTCCCTTTCAAAAATCAATCAAGATTCTGAATTGGTTAGGTTATTATTTGCTGAAAGGTATCTGAGTCTCCATTCATTACTTATCTGCCATCAGCACATAAGGCTGGATGTTCCTAGTAAATATACAAAGATCACTGCTGTTCTGCCCCAGCAGGATATAGCTAGTGTAGGAATTAAGAGCTGTCTCCTTTAAGAAACTACTTCCTGGGAAATGTAGGTAGAGACTGCCTTATGAGAAATCTACTTCCATGACAAGTGATCACATATGTGTTTCTGATTGGCCACTGGGGCATTATGCCTGTGTGCAGAGATAATAGCCGGTCATTTTGAATTCCAACTTGACAGGGAGGCAACATGTGTTCCTCCCCCTCTCTCAAGAATGGGAGTAAAATCATCTTTTTACACCTTGTGATGTGACAGATTATGGAAATTTAGAAGTAGCTTAACACTGAATTGTAAGTTTTGCTATTAAGAATGCCTGATAATAAACTTGATCTGAATTAGATTCCTAAGCGTGGAGTTAACTGCATGCCTAGCAAGCTTACAACCTTTGAGGCAGAACAACTGCAGTGCCATTCTCACAAATTACTTTCCTCATACAGAACTGAATCAGCATGTATTTCACGATTGTTATGTTTAGAGAATTACTACTGGAAAATAGGTTGAGTTTACAGAAATAGGAATTGGGGGGAAAACTCTTCCAGTCTTCCCCAGTGCAGGGTGTCTTACATTATGCAGGTATTTATCATACAAAACTAAAAAAACTGGACGGTGGTTTCCTGGATACAGTATGCACAGAAAATAGTTGAAGCTAATTGGTTAGCTCCTTCCCCAAACCACAAAAGAAATTGTTTTCTAACTCTTCTTTGCATAAGATAGCAGTTCCCATGTAGTATTTAGGGTCCCGAGGCTGAAGATGAAAGAATGTAATCCACCCACGGATAGCTGAACCAACAAAAGTTTATTGAACAAAGCATTCCATAGATAGCAAAATCAACAGCAGAATCAACAGCAAAATTATTAATCATGAAACATCATTCTTATAGTGTTCGCAGCTTCTTTAGTTCTACCTACTTTGCGTGTTATATCATTATTGGTTAACAAGTCTCCAAGGCACAACAATTGGTTAGGCCTTACATCATTGGTGTTCGTGA